TGTTACGTCCTGTAAAAAACTATCCTACTATCCCAAACTTTAAATTTAGAAGAGTTTGTGTGAATATCAGATCTGAGACACTATTCTGGATATTCGCACTGAATTAGAGTCATCACAACCTATTCTTTTTCCCTCTAACCATCATGCCTCCCAAGTTCCAGCACTTAAGGATATCCAACCTGAGATTTGCAACAAGAAAATGCACAAGGAATTTTATGTGTACATTAAAAGAAAGAAATCCATTTAGTGGAATCAAAATAACAGGCAACCAAATAACTGTTCACAATCAAACTTGAATCAACATATCTTTGAAGCTTCGAGGGAAGTAGAATCTAGTGGAGAAGACAAGAAAAGTTGCACAAATTATCATTTCTAGGAGTATTTTGCCTATTGGAAGTTATCATCACATTATAAAGTTTTTTATTTAATCTTGATAGTTTGCAAATACCCAAGTCTATTCTTCTTGATAGTTTGCAAATACCCAAGTCTATTCTTAAAGGACTTCAAAGTCCAGAATGAAGAAAAGATAATCGAAGAAGGGATCCAAACACTTGAACCAAATGACAAATGAAACTTTGACAAAGCTTCTTTCAAATAAAAGACCTTTTGGATGCAAATGGGTGTTCAATGTCAAGGACAAAGCAAATGGGAGCATGAGAGGTTCAAGGCTAGGTTGGCGGCCTAAGGTTTCACTCAGTCATATATGATATACTATCAAGAGACTTTTACACTAATGGCAAAACGAAATAATGCAAGAGTTCTTTCCCTGACAGTGAGCAAAGAGTTGGAGTTGCATCAACTTGATATTAAGAGTGCTTTTTCTAAATGAAGATCTTGATGAAGAACTGTGTATGGAGATCCCATCAGGGTTGAAAAATGACTTAAATAAATATCTTGTTTATAAACTAGGAACATCACTTTATGGTCTCAAACAATCTTCACAGGCTTGGTTTGACAATTTTGCCAATATTATGAAATCTAATGGGTACACTTAGACAAACTGATCGTTCACTATTTATAAAGCATAAACATAAAGGTAAAAAATTATATTCACTGTCTATATAGATGATATGACCTTTGACAGGTGATGATATTGAGAAGATTAAGGAATTTTCACCAAATTTGAAATCAAGATCTAGGAGCTATGAGTTGGTTTTAGGGCATGGATGTGACCATATCCAAGAAGAGAATTGTGATATCCCAAAGAAAATATATTCAAGCCTTTCTAAGGTGTTGTTTGGTTTGCTGAACAAGAGATGCAGTCTGAATGAAATACAATTTATTTTGAATTCACGCGAGTTGTTTGGTTGCATTTAAAGTAAATGCATGAGAATTATTTTTTTCTGTTTGGTTAGGTTTATACAGAGTAAAGTAAAAGGAGTGTATTATAAATATTTAAGGGGTTGTTTGGTTGTTTGTAAAGTAAAATATAAATATGTATATATATTTTTTGTTTATTATTTATATATCATATAATTTTTTCAATTTATCTATTTAATATTCAAATACTCAATTATTTATACAATATCTTATAATCAAATTAAGTTAAAAGTTATAATGTTGTGTTATATAAAGAGCCCGATTCATACTAGCGTTCTCTGATACCATTTTTCTCATCCCACGGCCCAAAACAAATGAAAAATTATAACAAAGCATCAAACCACAAATACAAAACATGAGAAAACCAAATTTAAATGACAACCTCTAAAAAATGAGCAATTTAGAAAAAAATGACCATTGTGTTGGCTCGCACAACATAACACCAATGAAACGATTAATTTTTTTGTGTGTGAGCGCGCGCGTATGGCTGAAAATAAAAAGGATCCATAAATTTGAAGCACCGATGGGTAAGAACCAAACCAATCCACCAATGACAGGAAAATACCACATACACAAAAGGAGCTATCAACGCCCAGCAAAAACTCGCAAAGAAAACTAATAGCAATAGATGTTAGTGTTGCCATCATTGCACGGAAGAGAGATAAAGGACTCATGGGAAGTGCCAATAATATTGAGTGATAACTAACATGCACGTCGACTTCATTGGATGGAATTCATCTCGTTGGAAAGCTAATGAAATTTTCTACAGCTTTTGAGCTGACCATTTCGGCTATACATGATTGTATGTGCTGCAGTTTTTGAACATTTTCAATCAGCAATAGTATGAATTGCTGAAAATTATATCACACCACACTATTTCACACGCAACTCAGTCTCATTGGACAGCTATGAAAATTCTCTACAATATGTATGTTAACCACTTCAGCTAGTTATTGACAGGATGCATTGCAGTTTTTGAAAATGTTCTAACACCAATATTATAAAGTGCTGAAAATTAGACTGCGTCACACTATTTTGCACTTAACTCATTCGTTCTTCGTCTGAATGAATTTAGTCTCATTAGAAACCTAACGAAATTCCTTACAAATTTTATGTTGGACGCTTATGTTGGGTATCATGGGATAAAAAGCAGTTTTTGAAACTGTTCAATAGACAACAATATGATTTGCTGAAAATTAGATCACGTCTTACTATTTTGAACATAGTTTACTCGTTATTCAACCAAATTGGATGAGATTTACCTTGTTGGAAAGCTAATGACTTTCTCTATAACTTTTATGTTGACCACTTTATCTAATTATGACCGAATGCACTGCAGTAGTAAAAATTGTTCAATCACCTATAACATGCAGTGCTGAAAATTTGAATATGCGGTGTTCTTTTTTTTGGTGAAAGAAGAAGTACAAGAAACTACAATGCGATTTAAAATAATAATAGCAAAAATACGTGGCATTTCTGCCCATTGCCACATAAAAAAGTTAAAAACAACCCAAAGCTATGTGAAAAGAAGGGACATTTACAGGTGTACACGACACAATTCCTATGTATTTCATATCTAACACTCAAACTTTAATATTTATGAGAAAAGTAATGAAAGAATTGGCAGCTCTGTAAGGCAAACTCATATACGTTTCAAGATACAAGATGACAACTCATATATGCTACATTCATTTACAGTCTCATTTACAGTGCTTTAAAGCCGCCACTCGGCAAACTCTACTACATTGAAACTTTAAAACCCTTAGAGACTACATCCAACTATTGCTGTTTAACATAAGCACCAGAAGTAGGTGAGTGAAAAAAAGGGGCATGTACATACATATTACCCGATTGCTATGTATTTACTTATCTAACACTAAAATATTGTTTTGACATTTATACCACCCAAATCTTTCATACCTGTATACCTTTTGGCACATGTATGCTTTGCAAAATCAACTGCTAACATAAATCATTTGGTTACAAGTAAACATAATACAATACAACGACAAGAACAACAACAACAACAATAAGCTATTATCCCACTGAGTGGGGTCGGCTACATGAATCTATTTTCTCCATTGTCCTATTGAATGTCATATTTTCATGTAATTCTAATATATTAAGATCATTTTTTATAAGATATGCCCCCAGTCTTTTTAGGTTTACCTCTACCTTTCTAAAAATCAGTCGAAGCTAAAAGATATACTCTCCTAACCGGATCATTATGTGGTCGACGTTTAATATGCCCAAACCATCTAAGACAACTCTCTCTAATCTTGTTCGCCACTATATCTACACAAACCTTATCACAAATATATTCATTTTGCATTTTACCTCTAAGTGTCAAGCCACTCATCCACCTAAGCATTTACATCTTAACAACACTTAACTTTGTTTTATGCTTCTCTTTTAAAGGCCAACATTCTGCGTCATAGAGCACTGCAGGTCTTACTACTACCTTATAAAATTTTAGTTTTAGTTTAAGCAGTACTTCTCTATCACACAATAGACCCGAAACATTCCTCCACTTCAACGAACCAACTTGAATTCTACTAAGAACATCCTCATCTATATCACCATCACTTTGAACAATAAACCCGAGATATCTAAAATGTACACCTTTTAATGATTTGATCACTCATAGTTATAACTCTGCCACGGGAGCTACTATTACTAAAATTACATTCCATGCATCCAGTTTTAGTTCTTCTCAAACGAAGGTCCTTAGACTTCAATGTAGACCTCTATAATTCAAGTTTTTTCTGAACTCTTTCTCTAGCCTTATCCACAAGAACCTTATCCACAAGACTAGCCTTATCCACAAGAAGGATATCATCAGGGAAAAGCATACACCAAGGTACATCCTACAGTAAATGTCCAATAAGAGCATCCATAACTAAAGAAAAAAGATACGGTTTAAAACCGATCCCTAATGTAATACAACTGAAATAGGAAAATACTTGGTAAATCCTCCTTCTGTTCGGGCACACGTACCAACTCTAATAGACATATCTGTAGTGACTTGAATATAATTCATATCAACACCTTTATTCTCTAGAACTCTCCAAAGGACTTCTCTTAAAACACCTTATCATAAGTTTTTTCTAAGTCAATAAAAATTGATATATAGATTCTCATTTTTTCTGTACTTCTCCATCAAACCTCTCATGTATAGCTTCTATAGTAGACTTGCCCGACATAAATCCAAAATGATTATGAAAAATCTTTGTATCACATCTTAACCCATGTTTAATTACCCTCTCCCATAATTTTAAAATATGCAGATCAACTTATTTCCTTTATAATTTGCATACTCTTGTACATCCCCTTTATTCTTAAAAATGAGGATCAAAATACTCTTCCTCCACTCTTCAAGCATCTTTTTAGTTTTTAAAATAACATTATAGAGACTAGTAAGCCAAGAAAATCCCAAATCTCCTAAATATTTTCACACTTCAACTGGGATATCATCAGGTTCTACTGATTTTTTATCTTTGGTTCTTTTTGAAATCTCATCAACTTCTTTTTTACTAATACGATGGTAAAAATAAAATATATTATTATTAATTCTTTGATGGTACCAACTTTTATATTACTCATACTTTTGTGCTAGGGTTTGTCAGGCAAACAGACACAGCATCAATGTCATTTTAATCTGTATTTTATATTTTTTGCAGGGCGTTTTCATTAATCCTGCCTTCATTGAACCATTTGGACTCACATTAATAGAGGTTAGTGCCTATACTTTTTTATTTGTCCTTCTGTGGAAGAAAGCTTTTTTTTTTTTCTCTTTTTTTCCTAGGTTTTAATGGAGGAAATCTTAGTAACACTGTTATCACTTGGGCAGGCTGCGGCTCATGGTCTGCCTATTGTAGCCACGAAAAATGGAGGACCGGTGGATATTATTCGGGTTCGTGTCATTCCATCACAACTTTCAATGGATGTTTAAAAAGCTATCTGATCTTACATGTTCTTCGATAAGAATACCTTTTACACTGCTCTATCAATTGCTTACTCATGTCTTGATTCAGGTGCTAGATAATGGAGTATTAGTTGATCCACATGATCAGGACAGTATTTCTGCTGCGCTTTACAAGCTTGTTTCTGATAAGCAACTTTGGGCTCGGTGTCGACAAAATGGATTAAAAAACATCCATTTTTTCTCTTGGCCTGAGCATTGCAAGACATATTTGTCTCGAATAGCTACTTGCAAGCCAAGGCATCCTCAATGGAAAAGGAGTGAGGATGTGCTTGAAAACTCAGACTCAGAATCTCCAGGTGATTCTTTACGGGATATTCAGGATATATCACTGAATCTAAAGCTTTCATTAGAAGGCGACAAAGCTGAAGACAATGGTAACCTGGATGCTTTGGATTCTGAAGAAAGCTTTGCTGATAGAAAAAACAAGTTGGAGAAGGCACTCTTAAAATTGTCCAGGGGAGTTAGCAAGGTAACTCAAAAGGCTGGATCTGGTGAGAAACATGATCTGAGCTGCGGGGCTAGTAAGTTACCTGCATTGAGGAGGAGGAAACACATTTTTGTCATTGCTGTTGATTTTGATTCTGAGACCAATATTATTGAAATTTTTCTCAAGATATTTGAGGCTGTGCGGCAGGACAGGATGGCTGGATCTATTGGGTTTGTACTATCAACAGCGTTAACAATTTCAGAGATTTATTCCCTTCTTATGGCTGAAGGAATAGCTGCTAGTGATTTTGATGCTTTCATTTGCAACAGTGGCAGCGATCTCTATTACCCACTTTCATATTCAGAGGACTCTGTTAACTCCTCTGATTTACCTTTTGAGCTTGATTTGGATTATCATTCACAGATTGAGTATAGATGGGGTGGAGATGGATTAAGGAAAACTTTGGCTCGTTGGGCTGCTTCTATCATTGACAAGAATGGTGCAAATGAGGAACAAGCAGTTGTTGAAGATGATGAAAGGTCTTCTAACTATTGTCATGCATTTAAAGTGAAGAACCCTGCACTGGTGTGAATTTCTTGGATTATCTTGTCATTGTTTAATACATCAGCAGTTTTGGGCTCTAATTAATGAACTATGTTTTCTTTTTCCAGGTTCCTCCTATTAAAGAGCTTCGTAAGTTGATGAGGATTCAGGCCTTGCGTTGTCATGCTTTATATAGCTATGATGGCACAAAGCTACATGTGATTCCCATCTTGGCTTCTCGTTCTCAAGCACTGAGGTATTATACAAATCAGCATTTTTTTTTCAGTTTGTTGGTTTTAGTTTTGCATAAAATGTAATGGGCAGTGTAGTTACCCATGAATCATGTACCTATTTGGCTATTTTTTAGCTTCCTAGATTGCCTGAATGTGATATTTGGTTTCAGTAACTATACCCAATTTGCATTTGAAAAGTTACTTTGTTTTATCCCCATGAAAATTCCATTTCTTGCTTAACCGTTTGAATTTGTTTCCGCACTTTTTCTCAAACTGGCATTGACTTTCTACTTTCTACTTGCCCTTATCCAGTGAGATTTGGCTATTATAACGCTCATTTAATTCCCCTCTGTTCCCTCTTTCTCTTCCCCAGTGTTCTCTAGCTGACTGCGAACTCATCTGCACTAAAGGATTGCGTGCAGCATAATGTTTCTGAATTTGGTTAAAATTGAGATTGATGTACTTTTAAAGTTCTTAGAAATGAGGAACAAAATGGTTCTCTTGGCTGTTTGTGGGGTTAGAAGGTCTAAGTTAATTGAACTTTTAAACTAAGAACCAAAATTGTCTTACTATTAAAAGTAACATAAGTAGAAGTTAACAGATGATGTTCAAAATGATGGTATTTTTGGAATTGGCATCGGGAATTTTTATAAAATACAATTTTATACTTACCTTATTTGGGATATTCTAAATATTTCTTCATTTTTGGATGCTCTATGATGTAATTAATGATATTAAATTTATAAATTTTAGCACCGTTTATTAATAGATTTCTTGCAAAGTATCTCAAACTTGAAAAAATAATTTATTAGATTTTGTTAAAATTTAAAGATGTAAATTCCTAAATTGCTTTCATTTTTAACATCGTTCTTTATCTTTAACTTTAATTTCTTTTACTTTTAATGATTTGAACATTTTGATTCATGTTTTAAGTCCATATGCTAAATTGAACTTTTAGATAGCCTGTGAAATTAAAATAGACCCCCTAAATATTAGGGGGATCATTTTTTCATTTTATCTATGAAGTTATTTTAATGAATGTCATGAAGTAAATTTTCCAATCGTATCGCGTCGAGTTTCTGTAGATTGACTTAACATTGTGAAACTGCGATAGCTTTGCTAGCAGGCAAACAAACATTCTATCTTCTCCCTCTTTGTTTGGGCCTGCTTGGGCAAAGGAAAAGCACTATGTTAGTAGTGGTTTGATTATAATTATATTGTTGATATGCATATCTGATTTAGGAAACCGTGGGTCCGCTACTATATTTGCGCATGTGAAATTATTTTCTCTTAATTTTGCATTATTGTGTTTTTATTTCATTCCTTTAAATCATGATGATTTGAGTTTCCCTTCAATTATATGAGGGTTAGTTTGGGTTTTATATATATTTGTTATTTGCTTAATGAGCGCTTTTTTTTAATCCAAAAATCTACTCCGTATCAATGCAAGGAAACAAACTTTAGCTCTCCGCCGGGGCGCCTCCCTGCAATTGCCAGTCACTACAGGCTATCCGTCGTATTTCTTCCTTGTAGCTGGATTCCTTTAGGCGTCTTCTTGCTGTTGTCTCCCTGCACACCCTCCTTCTAATATAGTTAGCTAGTGCGTTGTGTCAGAGGTGAATTTCACTTCAATCGGTGTCACAATCGCTATAGGTTTCTCCCGACCTGTTCGATTCATTTTGTCAATGCTACGATAGGCTCCTTAACGAGCTGTCCTTTAGACTGGCTCCATCCTTCTCTCGTCCAGCAGTGCCGTGATCAACTCCTTGTGAAGTCATCTGTTAGATCTGTTCCAAGCTTCTTCCGTTGTGCAGTGCTACAATCGTCTATTAGATTGGCTCCTTCGCAAGTTGAATAATCGCAATTCCTCCAGCATTTGAACATGAAATTCCCTCAAACAGTGTCGTGATAAACTTCTCTCTCTAGTGGAAATCCTGTATGAATGACAAAAAATTTTCAGTAGAAATCCTATGTTGGTGGCATCCTCTCTCTAGTGGAAATTTTTTGTTAGTGAAATATAGTTTCTCTTTCTAATGGAAATTCTGTGTTGACGACATATAGCTTCTCTCCAGTGAAAATTATGATGATGACCAAATACAACATGAAAGTTATTTATTCCTCTTCAGAAGTTATGTCTGAGCTTAAACCTAGGATGTTTGGTTCTGCAGCATCTGAAGTTTATCCCCGCATCATCAGTTATAAAGTACATGAAAATAATTTCCTTAAATGGTCTCAATTTGTGTTCATATACATTTGTGGTAAAGAAAATGATGATCTCACGTAAGAAAATCCTGCACTAGTACTTATCTTAAACATTAGACATGGAAGATTGAAGATCACATGGTCATGTCATGGCTTGTCAACTCCATGATTAAGAAAACTGAAGAAAATTTTCTCCTATTCAAATGTTGACAACAAAAGAAAGCTAGGATGTCGCAATGGAAACCTATTCAAATGTTGACAATACCTCTGAGTTGCTTGACATTGAAACTAGATTACATGACCTGCGATAAAGTGTGTTGAATGTTACTCAATTCTTCTAGCACTTTCTCCAAGTATTGGCTTAACATGGAGGTTCTCACAAGACTATACTCTTTACAAAATAATTGTTGAACAAAAGATAACCATCAAGCTCCTTCCACGACTCAAAAAGAAACTAGATAAAGTCAAAGAAAGAATCATGGGAATCAAAACCTCTTCCCTCTATTTGTGAGCCTTTGCTGGACTACGAAGAAAAGAGAGGGAAGAAACTCTTGATGACATTTAGGGTCCTTTTGGGGCAGCTTATTTGGTGCGGTGACGTTTTGAAAACGCACCTGACCTGTTTGGGTAAACTTCGTTTTGACAGCTTATGTGTTTTCAAAAAAGCTGAAAATAATGTTTTCACACTGCGGTGGCAGCGGTCTGATTTTTCCAAAAAAATAAAAAATTATAATAGCCACCGCACCTAGCTTATTAGCAGATTATTTTTAATCAGTTTATTAACAGATTATCCAATAAGCTGCAACTGCCCCAAAAAGACCCTTAATCTCATTACATCAAATATTGACAGCTCAGTTTTATACACTTATTAGTCATCTAAGGAATATAAATCAAAGAGAATATACTGCGGTGTGAACATTGCGAGATGCTAGGTAATTTAAAGGAAAGTGTTAGAAAATTTAAAAAAATCACGCGGATTGGAATCCCAATAAATCAAAGGTGATGGGGGAAAATCAAGCACACAACATTAAAGGAAGACGAGCCTTATGAACATAGTCCACCACTCAGCAAGGAATAACTTGAAGCTCTTCAAAGGCATCTGGGACAATATTTTGAGCCTTCTAGCACATCAAGTTAGATTTCCATCTTCTCTTGCTGCTCTCAACATGAAGAATTAGAATTCTGTGAACTCTGGAGCATCTGATCGCATGACAAGTGATATCACTTCTTTTCAATTCTACCATCCTTGTAAGCAACATGTTGCAATTAGAAACACAAATGACTCTCACATCTGTGGAAGGAAGATGAAGTGTGAAAGTCACAAAGGGTTTTATTCTTCAATCTGGGCTTTTTGTTCCTAAAATTAACTATAGTTTACTGTCTATTGGTAGACTCACCTGTGACATGAATTTTGTTACTAACTTCTATCATAATTTATGTGAATTTCAAGTGATGAACTTGGAAAAGGTGTTGGCAGTGCTAATATGTATGATGAACTTTATCTACTCACTAGGACTCCTACTTTAAAAGGACTATCCCATCATTCATATTCCTTCGAGTCAAGTTTTGTTTCTGAGTTTGTTTCTCACGAGAGTCAAGTTATGTTATAGCATTTTTGCCTTTGGTATCTTAACTTATATTCTATTAAAAAAATATATCCCCATATATTTATAAAACAAGCCTAATTCTTATGAATGTGAAATTTGTCAAATTTCTAAACATACTTGACAAATATACCCAATCCTAAAATACAAACCAACACATCTCGTCGTCATGGTTCATATGGGGGCCCTTAAAAATAAAAAATTACAATTGGGCTGGGTGACTTGTCAATTTCATTGATGACGACACCAGAACCATTTCGATTTATCATGAAGGAAAATTTTGAAATTGTCAGCTTGTTTGAAACCTTCCACAACATGACCCTCACCCAATTATAAAGCAAAATTCAATTTCTCAAAATCGATAATGTAAATGTAAATGACTACTACAACTTCACTCTCGGTTCATATCTATCTAAGAAAGACATCATTCATATAATCTCATTTGCTTACACCCCAATAAAATTGTATGACGAAGAGAAATAACGAACAACTCAGATTGGCCCAGTCAATTCTATTTTGTAATAATTTAGCCAAACACTTCCAAGGGATGCAATTCTCACATCTACTTATCGTGTAAATAAGACGTCTGATAGAGTGCTAAATTTTAACAAACCTTTCAACAAACCTTTCAACATCCTCATAAAATCTTATACACATATTCAGTCTTTCATCTCCAACCTGCTAAAATTTTTTTTGTTACATTTCTTTTATTTATCTACATCAATCTAATCAGGCCAAACTTGATACCGAGTAATTAAATGCATTTTTTATGGGCTACTCTTCAAATAAAAAATTGTATAAATGCTAGTCTTCAGAAACATAAATTTTACAACTCCATGGATGTCATATTTTTTTCAACATCAATCATATTACTTCAAATCTAACATTCGAGGTGAGAGTTGGAGAGATTATCATATTTAGGATACCATTTAGGAATCTCATGCTCCCTTCCCTTATATTCTTGATGAACTCACTCTTGTCTCCACTATAACAAATCAACATGCAAAATGAATCTACTACTACTCTAAATCCTTTCACAGCTCCCACCAAAAACCAAGAACTTTGTGTGCACCTTATAGAAAAAATCTAGTGCGCATGTAAGGAACAATATGCAAAATCATGAATGTAAATCAGCAAAACCAACTTTACATTTTCTAGGTACTCACACAGAGGTTGGGTCAACACAACATGAATACTAAGGAGCACAAAAATGCACAAAACACTTGGTAGAAGAATTTGTGAATATTGAGGATTATCATTCTTTTATAAATCCTTTTTTTAGAACTTAGATAATGTGCGGGTATTAAATTCAATCCAAGAGTCTTTATCTGTTCTTGCTTGGAAAAAGGTCGTGGAAGCATGTATTCTTGATCTTAAAAAGAATGGTATATGTGTCACGACCTAGTCTAGTACTTAGAATTAACCAAGATGGGTACTACAGTCGGACGGTATTAATATCTAATTAACTATCCATATTTTTAAAACTTCCAATACATATAAAACAACAGCTAATATTTTTAAAACTTCCACCACTCACCAAACGTTCGCAAGTATTGACCCACAAACATATGGTGAAATATGTTTGTGGTAATACCGGAAGTGCTGGTGCTCTAGGAGACACATGTAACCATATGTCAAAGGCAAAATTGATTTCTTTTCATGCAATGGTTTTTACCACATTACATAATATTCAAAGATTCATTCTATGCACATACAAGTATGAATTGAAGAACGTCATACAAGGAATGCAAAGACAAGTGCAAAGCAATGCAACATGCAATTGATTGGTCAATCAAACCAAAGTGTGGTTTTATGATCGACCTTGGTGGCCGATCGAACCAAAGTGGGCGATCGATTGAGCTTTGGTGGCAAATCAAACCAAAGTGGGTGATCGATTGAGCTTTGGTGATCGAATCATATGTGATTTTTTGACTGGCTTTGGTGGTTGATTGAACCTAAGTGATTGATTGATTTGACCTCATGGCTGATCGAACCAAAGTGTGGTTTTATGATCGGCCTTTGTGGTCCATCGAACCAAGGTGGGCGGTTAATCGGACCTTCGTGGTCGATCAAACCGAAATGTGGTTTTGTGACCAGTCCTGGTGGCCGATCGAACCGAAGTATGGATTTTTGATTTAGCCTTTCGTGGCCGATCGAACCAAAGTGAATAATCCGTCAAGCCTTGGCGTTCAATCAAACCAAATGTGAATGATCGGTTAAGCCTTGGTGGTCAATCAAACCTAGTGCTTGGATTTATGATCGGGGCTTGGTGGCCGATTGAACCAATGTGAATGTTTGATTGAGCCTTGGTGGCCAGTCAAACCAAATGATCGGTTGATCGGGCTGGGATGACCGATCGAACCGAAGCGGTTTACACAATTAAAGTGACAATCAAGCATGCAAACAATGAACCAAATGTATTTGATAGCAAAATAAGCTGATCCTAGCATTCTCACATAGGATCAATATATGGATTTGCAGTTTAGCCATGTCCGGTTTTGGCGAGGGATGTGGGAATCTCCCCCTTCGATTTTCTCGAAGGAGCAATTCTCCACTATGTCATAGGATGAACTAGCTACTAAGTTTTCCATCCTACGACTCCCCACAATCTTGTAAAATAAGGTAGCTACAGAGCTTTTCTTACATTCGCGCAGTCCAAATATTCCAACCCCTCCAAAGGGGATTGGAAATCACCAAACAAGCGGGAAATATAGATTTCGACCCGCTTAAGCTTAGTTCTGAGGGTTGTAAGGAAAGTGCTCGGAATTTGCTAGGGATTTGGCCACGAATTTAATTCCTAACCTAGGCTTTCTCTAAAACATAATTGGCCAATCAATAGCCATATGACGGTGCCGATTAATGTGAGTTGGCCAACTTGCCTAGCAAGGGAAATCAAACCCACAACGACATCACAAAGCTGACAAATCAAATGGAATATGACCGAGTCGACCGGTATCGTTCGACGAATCTAATCGTTTGATAACGGGCAATCGATTGAGTCGGATGATATTGGCTATCCGGTCAGACCTGTCTCGTGTGGGTGACCAAACCTATATCAACATAACAAAATTTATTCCTAGGGATGGCTAGAAAAGGAAATGCAAGAGTTTGAAATCGATATACCTTTGCAATGATTGCGGTCGTGATTTCTTTGCTTATTCGAGCAATCGGCGTCCAAGTCATGCACCGCATACCTCACAAAACATATGCAAAATGAGGAAGGAACAAGTGAGAGCAGGAGGTATGCTAGCATCTTTGATAAATGATTTGAACATGTAAGTATGTTCGACACATACCTTTTTGAAAAGGGTTGCTTAGGACTATAAGCCTTGGAGCAGTCGCCGCCCTGCTGGCGGTGTGCTTCGACGAGGGAGAGGCAGTGAATTCGTCGGTGGCGGCGGACTGCTGCCCGAGAAAGGGAGAGGCAGCCGAGCCCGCACTAGCAAGAGCGTGGCACAAGAGCGGCGGCCGATGAGAGGAAGGAGGAGCTCGGGATGTCGACGAGGCATCTCGAGAAGAAGCTGATGCTGGCTGGGGTGATGCCAGCAATGCTTGACCAGCGGCTGTCTGGCCGCGGGATGGTGCGAGAGGTGAGGCTAATGCGAGGGAGGCTAGGGCATCACGTGAACCTTGCTTGCGTAGGAGGCTAGCTGGAGGGAGGCTTGTCGGTAGGAGGCTCAAGACCTATGAAGGTTGTCGGCGGCGATAAGGAGAGGGGCGTGCGATATGAAGCAAAAATGGGGAAGGGCTTAACTAGCGGACTAGGCTCAAGCTCGACCTCGATAAGGAGAGGGGTGTGCAATCTTATTTGTTGGATAAATGTATTCCACGACTTTTGTGCACATTAGAGAAGAACAATGAGAAATTCTGATCGGGTTGGAGCGGTAGGCGAAAATTGGAGTTTCAGGAGTTTTTGTATGGCGCAATCTCGTCGTGCGCTATTAAGTAAAGGGACAAAAAGTGTGGTCGTGTGATTTTGTGTGCGGGACAGCGGCAAGGAGACGAGCTTCAATGAGTGCTTTCGACTCGAGGGAAGTGGCTCAAGTAAGAGGGATTGGAAGGCTTATGTCGAGGCAGGGAGATGAGGGTGACGTGCGGTGAGAGACATGTAGGTTGTGACTCTTGTGAGGTTGGATCGAGCAACAAAGTCGGGAGACGGAGACACCTTCAATTGTTGTGTCGCGGCAGGGAAATGAAGGATGGAGGGTGCTGATTCGAGCTTTTTGTGAACTTTGATTTGTGAACAAGAAGACAAGGGAGGCAAAGGAAATCCAAGAAGGATTGTGCATTAGAGGGGCTCGGTTTCAGTTCTGGGAGCCATAGACGGGCGAGATTCACGGTAGAAGTAGGTGGAAGGGATGAAATGGATGGGAGACTAATGTGTACGAAAGCAAGAGAGAGGGTGAAGTTTTAGAGATTTTTGTACGTTGTGATCTCATCGTTGCATTCACACTAGCCTTTTTTGTGGCCGTATCGCTCGAACAGGAGAAGATGGGTGCATTCTGGAGGAAGGAGGTTGCGTCAAAGATTTGCTAACATGGAGACAAACTTAGTGAAAGTTGGTTTTGGTTCCGTGGTGTTTGCGTGAATGAGTTGTTTTCGAAGCAGGGAGGAGGATGGGAATGAATAGAAAGTGAGAACCAAAGATGTGTGAATGGGAGTGGGGGGGCTTTGTTTTGCGGTTCGAATGTAGAAAATAAAGAAAGCTCATTATAACAGTTTTTATGAGGAGGAGCCAGAGACAAAGCTGGGGCAGTTGCAAATGAAAAACCTAAATCGGTGTTAAGTCATACATAAGCTTTTAAAATTTCATTTAATATTAATTAAGTATAATTTAGCTTAATTAATAACATTAATTGTTTTTTACAGCCATTTAACATCAACAACCTGATTTTGTGAAATTGAATTTGAACTTTATTTCAGAAAATACATTCAATTTTATATTTCTTCAAAATGCTGATAGATCCGAACTTGAGGATCTTGTGAATATGCATTCTTTAGTACCTCTCAACTGAGTTCAATTTGTTTTTCTTTTTGTTTTGCAATCAAACTTAAAAATTAAAATTTTTTCCCATCTTAGATGCTCTTAAAGCCTAATCGAGATCTCTCCAGGTACTTGCATGTGAGATGGGCCACAGACTTGTCTAACCTCGTGGTATTTGTTGGTGAAAGTGGTGACACTGATTATGAAGGATTGCTGGGAGGAATCCACAAAACTGTGATACTGAAGGGAGTCTGTAATGCACCAAAACCTCCAGTCTCAATCAGAAACTACGCACTCCAGGATGTCGTTGCATTCAACGGCCAAAATATTGCCAAAACGGAGCAAGGCTTTAGTTCCGCTGAAATACTTTCAGCCCTGCAAAAGCTAGGTATACTGAAAGACTAATTTCTCCACCTTACTTCAAATAAATCTCTCTCTATTCTCTTTCTGTATATAGTTCTTTTAGCTCCAAGTATCTTTGTTCAGTCTGGTCATCAAGGTCATACATCTCAACCTTTTTCCGTGTTGTCCTGAAAACAAGGGATGTGGCTTCCTCATGTCTGGCCATCAATTTGTTAACTGCATAATCTCTTGTTTTTTCTATTCCTTATAATATATTAGCCATTTCATGAAGGTTACTGTAATAATTGTTCTTTTCAGTAAACGCTTTGCATCCTTAAATTGTGTTCATGTATAATTAAAATACATTTGGCTCATTGTAATTAATTTTTAGTTGGAAAATATATCCAATAGTATCAGTATTTTGAGACTGAGTTTTTCTCCGTTTTTCACTTTTCATTAAACTTTACGGAATGTCTGCTCTCCTATGTCTATTGCTTGTCTACTATTTCATAATATTAAGGGATAGGGAAGAATTTTGTATAGAAATTTTAAATGATTTGTTTATTTATTTATTTATTTTTTACTAGTTTTGGGTTTGAAGATGATGTAATTACCGTGATGTCAGACTCAATTTTGATCTGTTGCCCACGCTGTTTGCACTGTTTTATGTTCTATCATTATAAAATTAGCTTTATTTTGGAGCCACATTTTCTCAAATGGTATGAGTTGGTTTAGCTGAGATTAAGTGTTTCACTCAATTTGTGGCTCTCATGCTCTTTTGTGATAAGATTTTATTTTGGAAAATTTACATACATACTAGACAGTTCTTACATATTTACATATCCAACGTTTAAACATTCATATTTACTTTCATGAGGCTTTGGTGTTATAAAGTTATGCATGAAAAGATGTATTTCATTTTTAAAAAATAAGTGATGTTTTTGATGTGATATTCAAGATTTGTGTTATGTAAATATGAAAATATGGCTTTTAGATATGTAAATACATAGAATTGTGTGATAAATATTTAATGCCCCTTTTATTTTATAGGGTGTGGCAATTAATTTGTATTTTTTTTTTTGTGTGATGGATGACTATTAAGGCATATATGAGTAAATTCTCGAATTTAATATCAAATGATTGTTTTGAACTCTTAAAATATAAGGCTCAATTTTAACGCATTTTTTGTGGCTAAGCTTTCAAAAAAGTTTGTTGTTCACGAACAACTCGTGTTCGACTTGTTAAGTAGCTCGTGTTCGGCTCATTCGTTAAGTTAATGAGACGCACATGAATAATTTTCTTAAGCTCAAATTATTGATAAGGTGAACGCGAACAGTTCTTTGTTCACTTGTGTTCGGGTCGTTGCTCAAAATAAAAAAAATCATATGATTATTTATATAATAATATATTATATATATTATGAAAATAATAATAAATTATATATTTTTATATCCAAGTTTAAATCAGGACAGCTCGTGCGGCAATGTGGTCGTGTGTCTTCTATTCCAAATAATTTTAACGAGTCAATTTCGAGCCGAACACGAATAAGAATTTTTAAATTGATGAGCTGAACACGAACATATTGTTCACGAGTCTATTTCGAATAGGAGCCGATTTTGAACATGAGCAATTTCGAGCGAGCCGAGCTTTTACAACCCTATTTCAAATAACAAACTCGTGTTCTATAATTTATTCTGTACAACAAAACAAAAGTAGTTGAACCGAGCGGGTATATTGGAGTTACTACGATTATTTATAAAATTACTTATACAAATATCGTGATTTTTTTTCTCATAACTACTAATAGTGTTATAAGTTTAGGAAAAACCAGATAATAACTTATTTCTTACAACCATCAAATATCATATCTGGCCACTAAAAAGTTATATCAGCAAAGAAATGAGGCGGCAGAGAATAAAATAAAGAAAGCTGAGAGAAGCACAAGGATAAGTGGATTTTTATTCATCCATGTTACATTTTGATAAACTGTGATTTATTTATAAGCGTAGCCCATGACATACTTGTAAATAAGTCGGGTACAATAAACATTGTACAGAAAGCAATATGAATCTAAACGAAATGTTGAGATGCTGAGAATCCCTAGCATGGGAAAAAAGTAGCGTCTTAAGACACATAGGGGGCATGAGCGGATCTTGGATCTGCCGGAGCAAGCCGATATTGGACGGAGAGTAGATAAGTATGATTTTACCCCCTTCAAACTAATGATTTGAGCTTCGAATCATCAGGTTGCAAGTGAGATCTTGTGTCTTTTGATCAACAAAAGCTTGGTGAAGATATGATCTTTGTTTAACAGATGCTTTAGTTGAATATGTTTAAGCTTTATGTGATCTCTTATAAAATGGTAGTCAACTTTGATATGCTTTGTAGGTTGACTTGTAGTGATGATTGAGGTTAACTTCTGTACATGTCGTTGGGAGAGGGGGGATGAGAAGGGTTGTTTTTTGGGTTGTTCATGGTGAGGTGGAGGCTAGCGGTCTAGGTTGTTGTTTGTAGGGGAATACATTTTCAATGAACTGAACATTTCTTGAGATTATGATTTTTTTAGCCAGAGTATCGAAGCATCTATAACCTTTGTATTGCACGTTATATCCAAGAAAAATGCAGGAGGGTGGTGCCTTTGAAGAGAATATATTGTGTTATATTGTTGCCAAGGAAAGCATAAGCAACCAAAGCTTTTTAGATATTAATATTCAAGAGGTTTGTGATAGAGTAGTTGGAAAGGAGATTTGTGAAGAGTATTGGTGGAGGGGATACGATTGATGAGATTTTTAGCAGCTTGAAGCGCATCATCCAAAATCGGATGGGTAAGCGAGCAACATTTAGAACGGTACGAGTGGTCTTTTATATGATGTTTTTGTTAGAAAATAAGAGAGACAAAGAAGGTGGCTAGGGTTTTTGTCAATGATCACCCAAAACTCATTACAAGAATATATATATATATATATGTACAAACAGGAAAAGACAACACTACCCATAAATGATAGAGAAATAGAAATACAAAACTATATTTAACAGTTTTCTCTTAGCAATATCGTTTGTTGAGGAGTGTAGGGCTAGCTAAACTAATGGGTAATGCCGTTATGAATAAGGTATTCTTTCAGTTCGCTTCATATATTCACCACCGTAATCTGTTCTCAAATATTTTATAGTTTTATTAAAATGGTTTTTTTTCATGTTATGAAGAACAATAAAATGTGAGACAATTTCTGATTTGTATTTAAAAGGCATGCATCAATAATAGCGAGAAAAAGAGTTAATAAATGTGACATAATATCTATAACCTTCCAAGGAAGGATGAGGAAATGGTCTCCATATGTCAGAATGTATCATATCAAAAAGTTTACAAGTTCTATGACTGTGAGGGAAGGGAAGATTATGACTTTTATTTTGACAACATTCTTGACATATAACATTAGCTGAAGGTAGTTGCAGTTGTGATTGAGAACAGGAAACCATAGTCAGGACATGATGATGTGGATGGCCTAATTGATGATGCCACTGGTTGGAATCTTTGACAGTATGGAGCACAGTGATGCGATATAACCCTTGATCAACAACTCTTGTTAGAATTATTTTCTGGCTTTTTGGATCCTGAATTTGAAACTCATTAGCATTAAAAATAATTTGGCAATTGTTATCTTTAATGAGTTGGTGTACTGAAATAAGGTTGTTTAATAGTTTGGGAGCATGAAAAAGAGGTGAAAGAGTTAACTTACTGTGTTCAGGAGTAGGTAGAAGGCTCTTACCAACATGTGTGATACATGTGTGTTGGCCGTTTCCAACGATCACTTGGTCGATGCTTTGGTACGGAACTGGTTGTTGCAGATTTGTAAGGTGAGGGTAAGATGCACTGCAGCACATGCACCCATTCTTGTTGGTGCATTTGAGTGTGGAGAGCTGTGATGAAAGCAGTGAATGGTGGTTTATACTGTAAATTTATGTTTTTTTTGTAGATTTGATAAATAAGAGGAGATCTAGATTTGGTTTGTTGCTTTTGGTAATGTTCTTTGTGTTGGAGAAGCTCATGCTTGAGCTTCTTGAGGTTTGAGACCCCCCTTTGTTTCTGTACAACGGTAATGTCGTGTGTTGTGCGTTCTTGGCAGTTTCGTTGGCAATGTTGCACTCTTTGCTGTGAAGAAGAGAGTAGAAGTCTTCTAGCTTTGATTGGATAGAGGGAGGTATGGAGAGCTGTTTTAAAACCTTGATAGCTGGGTGGTAGCCTGTTGTGGGTACAAAGTATAATGTCTTCTTGGTCCACTGTGGAGCCCGCTGCGGCTATGTTGTCCATAATGTTTTTGATAACCGTGAAATGCTATGACATAGTAGTGATTCACCTCGTGACATTATGCAGTTCATTCTTTAGTTGAATGACTCTTGATCGGTTCATGGATTAGAGTGCTGCATATTTTGGCAGTAGTGTTGAGGTAAAGGAGGTAGGGAAGAATTGAGGGTGAAATTGTATACAGAATTGCTACAACAAGATTCTTATCCATCAGGTGCCAAGTAATGTTAATGAAGGTTTTCTTGTTGAGTATTGTTTTCATTTTCTGTGAATTGGGTGATTTTGCTATCAAGAAAAGGGTTATATCCGCTAGCAGTAAGAAGTTTAGAGACTTTTATCTTCCATACAAGGTAATTGTCTTGAGTCAGGGAAGTAGTAATCACATTCTTGATATTGATACATCAGGAATTTGGGGGAGCTTGGGATGTTAACTTCTTTGATTTTGCTAAAGGTGGTTGAGAACTGTTGTTCTTCTGTGGCGATGGAACTAGGAGAGTCCATCCTTGTGAAAGGTGATTCTACTATGATACCAAGTGAAGAAATGAGGAGGAAAGGAACAAGATGAAGGCAACAGAGAAACAGTAAACAAGAGATAAGTGGATTTTTATTAATTCATTCATCTAGGTTACATATTGAGAAACTATGACTTTATAAGCATAGCCCATGACATGTAAATAAGTCAGGGGTACAATAGACATTGTATATAAAACAATATTAATCTAAACGAAGTGTTGAGCAGCTGAGAATCCCTAGTACGGGAAGAGAGGAGTAGCTTAAATGCAGAAGGGGCGAGAGCAGAGCTTGGATCTGCGGGAGCAAGCTAATCTTGGACGGAGAACATGTATGTATGCTTTTAATATAGCCAAATAAATTTTTAAAAAACAATACCAAAACAATAGTCAAACAAATATGTGGCAACTATCTCAAAACACAAATCAGTAAAAATAGGGGGCATTTGCATGCATACCACACAATGCTTATGTATTTTCATATATACCACCTAAAATTTACCTTTTACATTTATAGCACTCAAATCTCACTTATCACATAAAAAAAATCAGTATTTTATTAAAAAAAAAAAGTAAAATACACCTTTTTTTATTTTTATGGTGTTTATGTAAAAATTGAAGTTTAGGTGTTAGATATGTAAATATATTGATATGTATGTAAAACTTCCAAAAAAAAAACAAAACAAACCTCAAAGGTGGGAGAAATCACACCAAGTGCATAAAGTAAGTATTAGATAGCCTTAATCTCAATGATAGTAAGAATGTGTATTTGTATGATACTACCTATATTCATTTATTTGAGGCATTTATATACATACTACACAACTTTTATGTGTTTACATATCTAACACCTAAACTTTAATATTTACATTCCTTGCACTCAAACCCTTGGTATCATCTCAAAAATATCTCTATGGTCTGCTTTTAAAAAATTAAATATTCCTTTCCATTCATATGCTTCATACCAAAGCATTATCAATGCCAATAAGAAAGTTTAAGTGTTGGATATGTATATATAAGAAGTGTTTGGTATGTATGTAAATTTCCCATATATTTTTTAATATATTTTAAGAGAATGACAACAAAAATAAAGTGACTTGAGTTGTCCTCCTACTCCATCTTTCTACACAAAATCTTTAAAACATCCAAACCTTAAATCCATCCCACCCGCCCTCCACTCTCCTTAAAATTGACAGGCTGTGTAGTTGTTGGTTGGGAGCCTATTAACTTTGAGCACATTAAATTTCAGAATTGTGTTTAAATTAGCATAACATCATCACCAAAAAAAATAAAAAATAAAAAATTTAATGGGACATAGCGGCCTCACAGTGGGACCCACTACGACCTTTTTGAAATACAATGGGACCCACTGCGCCCATATGATAGGCTATAATAACTCCCCTTTGTTTTTTTTAATACAAAAAAGCCCTATTTGCAGCTGCCATATTTATTAGGCAACGCTCCCCCATTCGTCATGAAGAAGTTACTTCTCCTTCACTCATTTAAAACTCTTCGCCTCCACGCCAACCGTAACCCAACCTTCATTTTCACAGCCCAATTATTTATTCAATTATACGGTAAACATAGAGAGAATCAGCATAATCCATTTTGGCTTTTATACCACAAACCCAACTTTCCAACCAAGAAAAACCTGACACACAGAGAAAGAGAGAGAGAGAGGGCATTATTAAATGAGGCAGATGAACCAGAAACTAAGTAGTTGTGCTAAATGACCTACCATCAACAACTTACTAATAGCTAACAGTTAATTACAGGTTTACATAAGACGCTAAACACATCATAATGCACATAGTTAATTAAACAAGGAAGCAGACATAGTTAAAGAGACAAGTAGGAGAAGAAGGAATTCAGCATATTGAGGCCGATGGTGGAAGAGAGAGGAGTTGAATTAGAGGAAGCCATGGGCATGGAAGAGAAACTCCAAGAGACTGCTGATACATACAAGAAGAAAGGAAGGAAAGGGAAGAAAGGCAGGATGAAACAGAGTAAAAAGAAAAAGGATGGCGGGATTGGAGAGTACAAGCTTGTGAATTATGAGGATTTGCCGGATTACATGAAGGAGAATGAGTTCATAAGAAAGTATTATAGGTCCGAGTGGCCAATCTCCCAAGCCTTCCTCAGCCTCTTCTCATGGCATAACGAAACTCTCAATGTTTGGACGTACGTTCCCTACCTCTCCCTCCCTCTCACTCTGTGTATGTGAGATTTTCTATTATTTTAATTTTTTTTATTTTTGTAATCTTGTAGGCATCTGATTGGATTTTTGTTGTTCTTGGGACTAACTCTGATGCATTTGAGTGATATGCCTCAAGTGGCAGATCTCATAGGCCATCTCCATGGGTGAGTTGATCAGCATCTTCATTGATCATATATAGTTTCCAATTTTTATGTGCTTTAAATTGATTTTTATGGCTAAATTCTCTGAATTTCATTTAATCTTTATGAAGTAAACATTTGATCAAAGTTTTAATTTTCAGCAAATTTTACTTTTTTTCCCCCATCGATATGTCTAGAATTCAGGTTAATTCCTTGATCGATATCATAAGCTGCAAATCATATATTATTAATTGCTCTTAAAAATTTTGTTTAAATTATTGTTTTTTTTTCATGAAGTTCTGCTTCAATTTTCTTGATCATGCATCAATTTTACTTATTTGCAGGTCTTTCTCCTCAAAGGCAGTAGAAAATGTGTCCTTAAATCAAGGAACGCTCTTCAGCGTACGTGCTTAATTTCCTGACCATCCCTATGATTCTAGCTCTCTTTCTCTTATATATATGAAAAAATTACATACAAACCCATACAATTTAGATGTATTTAAATATCTAACACTTATATTTTTTTGCATGTATGTATAAAAATTTAGATGTTAGCCTTTCTCTTATATATATGAAAAAAATTACATACAAACCCATACAATTTATATGTATTTAAATATCTAACACATTTTTTTTTGCATGTATGTATAAAAATTTAGATGTTAGACATCTAAGTATATACGAATTACGGTTTTGCAAACGGTACCGAACAGGTTGAAAAATCAAACAGAAAAAAATTGATATGACTAAATAAGTTATATTGTACCAAAATCAAATCAAAAGAAAATATACTTATTTGGTTCAATTTTGATTTGATATTTGAAATTCTAAATAGGATTTGTGTTCATTTAATCCATACTGACTGATTGACATATTTGTTAAACCAATAGTTTGATGAATTTAATTTAACCATAATATAATTTAATTTTTGGGTTTAACTTTTTTTTTTGTCAAACCAAGCCGATATAGTCAAATCAAATAACCATTAAATTGTAATAAAAAATCAAACCATGATTCATAAACCAAAACAAATTAACCAATTGGTTTAAAGCATTTAATGCACACCTCTATTAAGAATAGTGTGATAGGCTAGCAAATAAGCTTTTGATGATAAATATAATAAACAAGTACATTACAGAAATAATAAAATCAACATCGCTTAATTTTAAGGATGTTTTATCATTTTTTAACCAGTACAGTTTTTTAGCTAGCCAATTAATCAAATTGGAAATTAGGCCATCAAATAAATCAATATGTTTGACAAGCACTTTGTGCCTGAATTTGATTAGTTAATTAATTTTTTTTTTAATTAAGTAATTGAAAATTTTTAAAAATCTAATTTTTTAAATCATTTATGATCATGATTAATATTATTTAATGGTCGTGAAAAAGCTTAATTCAAGTAGAATGCTTTCATGGTTGTTTAATTAACTAATCAAATAGATTTAACAGCTTGATAATTGATTCATTTATGATCATGAATTATCTTATCTAAAGCTCCTAAAATGGCTTACATAGAAGCTTGATAATATGCTCATTTAATACTCCATTATAAATTTATTTGATATGTGATGGTGTGAAATTAATTTTTTTATTATTTTAAATTATTTTTGTCCATAAACTTAAGATATTTATTTATTAAACCACATGTTTTCAGTAGTTCATGCAATTTGATCTTATTGTCAATGGTAATAGGTTGCTTATTAAAAATGATTAGGCTTATTCATTTAGTTAAAGTGCAGTTCGAAAGTGTTGCTCATTAATAGATGGATAAGACTCATTTGATTAGACAAAGAGTCATGCTAAACAAATTATAATTTTAAGCAAATCAGCTTAAACACTAAAACAATTACTTGAACAAGCTTGAGCCTGAACTCAAATAGGCTTTTGGCAAACAAGCTCAAACTAAAACAAACCTCTAAACAACTCTGGTCACTTCATTTGCAAGCGATTGATGATATTCAAACATTTCAAATCATAACTATTTTGCCAAATGTCTTATTATATTCAAAATTGTTATAATTTTACGATCTTTATTATCTTAATTCAAAAGCCATCTAATGTTCAAAATAGCTCATAAGAGATATAAAATTTGAGATAAAAAAAAAACTTTTTTTGGATGTTAAAACTTTATTTAGTCTTTAATATGATCTTTAAATCCTTCCTAAATTTTTATAGCCAATGAAACAATTGGAAACTATAATCATACCTTGTTAACTCTATTGGATTTGTGGTTTTGAGAGCTTCCAAATATCATATTCTATTTGCTAATAATTGGTTTTATTGGTGGAATTCATAATCCACCATTATTCTAGCAAAATCCTAAGCCAACTGGATTGATTGAGTTAACTTATAATTATGATCATATAGTCAGGGGTGGGCATGATTCTACACTTGATTAGTTGTTAATAGCTATATATATATATATATATATATATATATGAAATATTCTTCTATAATATTGGATAAATATCACACATCTTTCTTCAAAATCTATAAATAAAAAATATTCACCTCTTTTTTATTACTTTAAATTTTAGAATCACAAAAAAAAAATTAAAGCATTTTCCAACTCATAAGAATCAAGTCACTCTTTGATTTTTTGGATTCTCCCTACATCATCAACTAAGAGCCATCTTCTCCTTCTATGTATGAGCAAACATATTGATTAACTCCAATCAATTTTCCTAAAGTTTATAGTATCTCCTACACTATTTTGCTTCATGCCATTTAGTGTACTCGCCTCACTCAAAGTGCAAAACTTGATTAACCATTCTTACTGGTCATTTTAATGATCTCAAATTCTCTTCTTTGTTAAGCTTGATCATTCATTGAACTAGCCTTATCAAAGAGGATCAGCTTAATTTCAAAAATAGACTGCCAATTTTGATCATTCATTCCAACTCATTTTAAGAGAGTAGCTATGTTTCACTACTTCTAATCATCCATAAATATTAGCCTTCTAAGCCATCCCATCCAATGAGAAGGATTGTTTATGCCTTTCTCCATCTATAGATTCTTTTTGTCTAATCCTCCCACTCTTTACATGAGAAAAACTATTTCCAATTATTTCATATAATTAGCTAACTTTTACAAAATAAACTACTCCAACTACCTCATTAATGATGACTTTGAAATATCCATACTCTTTTTTTTTAGGAGATAATCTCATTCCTTATTTTTTGCCCAACAACTTTCAGTTGTTTAATCATCCATTCTCATTGGAGAGGGACTAACTTGATCATCTTCATAGCCAAATAATTTTGTGTCATTCAATCATCTTTTCTTTTAAAAGGGACCAAATAAATCTTCATTGTTGCAATAACTTTGCGTTGCTTAGTCCTTCTTTATTTCAAGAGGAATAGTCCCACTGTTTCTATTACTCAAGATTAACTCCATCACATGTAAACCTCAGAGTCGTTCAATCAATCTTCTTTACTAATTAATTTAAGGTCTCTTATTACCCCATTGAGGAGAGAACAAATTGACTATCTTGATTCAATGGCCTTCATAATATTTCTCTGTCAATTAACTTTTGCATTTAGGATGTGTTGTCTCCTCCATAAGTCTAGAAAACCTAAGGCATCCCTAGCGATTTGTCTAACTTTTTAGTGTTGATCGGCTTCTTTCTTTTAGGGCATGCCATTTCCACCTCTAAAAAGAGGATGCTATAGTTGTCTATACTACTTTCTAATTTGGTGTTGTTCCACTTGAAGTTTGCAGCTTGTAATGCCCTTGCATCCCATGGAGGATTATCCTATTACTAGAAATATTATCAATATCCAAATTTTTTGTGTTATATAATATAATCTTCAAATTTGATGCATTCTAGCTCACACCTACCACTAATAACTGTTATTTCAATCATATAAAAACCCTCAAGTTTATTCTTTTTGAGTTTTTTGTAGAAAAAATCATAACACCTCATTAGATCTGGGATATTTTTTTGTAGTTATGATGATCAAAGTTCTTCTCCCTCAAGTCAACTTCATGATCACACTATAGATTATTAGCAAGCAATATGCAATAATGATACTTCTATTGATAAATTGAGGCACTTTAATTCTATGTTCTTGATTTCTTTAAATTTTGATATTTTTGATTTACTATGTACTGTTTAATATGTCAAAATTTTAAGTATATATGTATTTTAAAATTATATTAAGTGAAATTTAGTTTATTATGTTTCATTTTATTTTTTCATAATTATATTTTTTATCATTTGTATTTCAAATTAGAGGATCTAAAATATCGATAAAAAATTTATTTATTTTATTTTTAATAATTATTTTTCGTATCATTTGTATTTCATATTCGAGATTACAAAAGAATTTATTAGGTAAACTTAACAGATTCATATTGCAACTTTTGAATTAAAATTTTGTTCACATATGTTTGAATTTTTATATATATATTTATCTTTTAAGAAAACTTAAAAAATTGATTATATACATGCAAAGGTGGGTGTGTTGTAATGCAGTTTAAATCCATGCATATATAGATTAATAATTTATAAAGTTGAAAAACATGATAACTTCACTTTTGATATTTACAATTCCAATTTATGATTTCGCTTAATGTTTGGACATTTATGTTTAATTATATTTCTCACAAATAATGAACTGATTTTACATGATGAACCTCAAAAAAATTAATTTCAAAATTTTTGGATGAAATATTTCTAACTGTATTATTAATTTGTATTTTAAAATAAAAAACAAAAAATGATAAATTTAACATAAAATCATTAATCTTATGTGCTTACGACATATTTACTTAATAGTATGTGGTAGATAAATAAAAATTAGAGGAATTTGCAACAACTTTATTAATTTTATATTTATTTATCAATCTAAAAACTAAAGCTTTATATTTAGTTACATAATTCTATAATATATAAATACTAAAAGTGATCATTAATATTACTTTATCTATAATAAAATGCCTATTTTTTTATTTCATTTTGTCTTATACAAAAACATATATTTCAATATTATTCAAAAATTAAAATATTACATAAATAAACATAAATTATAAATAATGGAAATATAAATATATAAAAATTCAGTGATATGTGTGCGAATTCAGGTAAAAAAAAATAATGATTTCCTGTTTGGTGACCAAACCCTAACCTTCTCGTTCCGTTCTGCCAAATCGCAGATGGCGGCGCCAACCAACAACCACGATCACCATCATCCCGACATCTTCTCTGTCCAGCACCGGCCATCAACCAGTGCGGCCCCTCGTTGGCCATTCCTGGTCTTCCTCTCTGGATCCATGCTCTGCCTCATAACCTCCTCCCTCTGCCACCTCCTCTGCTGCCATTCCCACCGCCTCAACCTCATCCTCAGCCGCCTCGACTACGCCGGCATCGCCGTCATGATCGCCACCTCCTTCTTCCCTCCCATCTCCTACGCCTTCCTCTGCGCGCCACGCTGGCGCTACTTCTACCTCTCTTCCATCTCCTTCCTCGCAGTTCTCACAGTTATGTCCCTGCTCACCCCCAAATTCACTCACGGCTCCTACCGGGCATTCCGGGCCCTCCTCTTTTCTGCAATGGGACTCACCGGAATAGTCCCGGCGGTGCATATTACTGTGGTGAATTGGTCGGAGGCGAGGCGGATGGAGACGATGGTGTCGGAGGCGGCAATGGCGGCTTTCTATTTGGTTGGGACGGGGTTTTATGTGAGCAGGGTGCCGGAGAGGTGGCGGCCCGGGAAATTTGATATGGCCGGACATAGTCATCAGATTTTTCATGTCTTTGTGCTGGCCGGAGCAATGGCGCATTATGTGGCGGCGCTGCTGTTCTTGGAATGGAGGGATGCGGTGGGATGTGGGAGAAGCTCATAGCTCGAGGTTGGAAGTTTAGGGTTTTTGTTTTGTTTTTTTAAGAAATTATATATTCTTCATATTGAATTTTTATTATATTTCACCCAAAATAAAATTTGATGCTAAGTTAATCAAATTTTATTTTAGAAATTATTTGTTATCACATATATTGTGTATACAAAAATATTAAAAATAAATTATTTTTATGAGGTTTTGTTTGATATTTATTAATGTGAATTTTTTTATGCTTATCATGCTCATTAAATTAAAGAATTTCTAGTTTTTTTATTTTTAGATGTAATATATTTGAAAAAAACTTTTAGTATCTTTTTATATGTATAAGAAGTTGAAAGAATGATATTTTGTAATAGCATAAGAAAATTATGTATATAAGTTATGATCGATGACCATGACGGATTAGCATTTTTGTTGGGGAAATCATTCTATTTTGTTGTATGATTATTTCCTTCAGATTATAGCTTTGATGTACGCTAAAGTTGAAAGTTTTAAGAATTGAACATATATTTCTTAATTATACCTATAAAATTTTAACAATATTTGTGTGTGTGTGGGGGGGGGGGTTGGTTTAATTTTTATTTATACAATTTATAAGACCATAAGAAATTTTTTAGCATGAATTAATAGAGTGATTTAGAAAAACATACTTCAATGTTTCTTCAAGCTTTAAATCAAAGGCTTAAACATGAATTTCAAGAATATATTATTTGTAGGAATAAATAATGAAAAGGAAAAAGAATAATTTGAGACATTTTTTTCTTTCATATTAATTTTTCTTTTAAAATCATAATCAATTTGTGAACACTCTAGGCTGGAACAGGGTAGAAAAAGATGGAAGAAGTTAGACTAGAGAATATTTTAATGTTTCTGGGTAGATTCAGTGGGCTCCTTACACTGCATAATTTATTTCTTCCCCCCCTCATTCCAAGAAGTAAAACTCTATTTATATGTGAAAAAGTCAGGAATGGCTTGCATTAACATATTTTCTCACGATGGAAAAATATGTATGTCATATCATGCAGGTCTTAAAAATCTTGGGGGTGTCAGAGTTTGAATATGATATCAGGAGTAGAGCAGCCCATTTTTGTCAACTTGCTATAGAAATTTAATCAACTGGTTAGCCTAAGCTAATCTACATAATCAATGCCCAACCACATTAGGATCTGAGCAAGAAAAGAATATAAGAAGGCATTGCTATATGAGTTGAAAAGTGCTTATGTTGCATGCCTATTCGCCCTCCCAGAAGAAGTAAGATTATATATGTATGCCAAAAAAAGAAAAAGACTTGCATGGGCATATTTTTTGAGGTAGGAAGATCTATATCATGTTGTTCAGGTTCTGGGGATGATTATGCGGGTGTTAGAGTTTGCAGATGACATCAGAGACAGAGTAACCCTTGTTTGTCAGCATGTTACATATGCTTAATCCATAAGTTCTCATAATCTAACATTCATAATCAAAGCCCTATTGCATAAGTTTTGAGTAGAAGAGTGTCTATATGGTCTTGCTAGTTGAGTTGCGAATTGCTTATGCTACCCTGCATGTTCGCTCTCCCGGACTAGTGGTTTTGCTACATTGGCCACTCTTCGTGTTATCAACTAATGTGAGGGTTTTTGTTTTTTGTATTAATGGGGTTGACCGGGGCACACTCTAACAAGCTTTTATAACACATATGCTTAGTTGATTCTTCGAGCAATGTTGGTTGGATCACATAGATGGTGACGTGCCATTAGCTATGTGAATGATATTTAGTTCCTAAATTTTCTTAGCTTTTTTAAAGGTACCGTAAAAATTTAAGAGAATGTATTTTCTTAGAAAATAATTCAACTCATCATTAATATTAACAATGCATATTTAATGTTATGTTTCATTATTGGTTCTTTAGAACACCCTTTAGATTGCCATGCGTAGAAATCACCATTTATTTTATCTTTCTATCCCAATAATGTGCATGAACTCCTTTATGTTTTGCACAGTTTTATCGATGAAATTGCATATTAAAGAAAGTTATTTTTATGTTTTTCTTGCAGGTACAACATGTATTAGAAGTGGAGCAAAGTGGAGAAGAAGTGGAGCAAAGTGGAGGTGACAGAGCTAAAAAAGATCCAAGTGACCGGCGCCTTGGCTACAGATTTTATGGGCGCTTAGACGCTAGTCCCTCCAAGGGAACCTAAGAGGCTGACACCTAAGTGCTAGCCTTTGGGACGAAAGCACCATTGCACCAGGGCCTTAGCATTAGATTTTTGGGTGCCTAGGCACCCATATCAAAACTGACAAAAACAAATAGCCTGACGCCTGGGTGATAGATGCCAAAAACTGCATGAACAGTTTTCTACAGTTCCTCTACATGATTTGGGGAGTTATTCAAACAAGGAGAAGAGTTCTTACGAAGAGTTTTGACATCCTTTTAGAGGAGAATGAAGGGAGATCTTTGATGTTTTGTTGTAGGATAGAGTAGAAGAGCATTTGTGAGGGAGTTGGAGAGAATTTCAATTGTAAAGTGAGGAGAGACATGAGGAGCGCACAAAGGGTACTAGGAGATTCTTGGGGAAGCATTCTCAGCACTTTGTAAAGGGAGAAAGCTAATTGTTGTCATTGTCTTTCTGCAAACACAAATCTATAATGAATCTACTTGTTTTCAAAGATGCTTTGTGGCATTTTCTCAATGCTTTTTGAGTAGTCTTGTTACCTTTTCCCTTGTAGTGATTAAGTAGAAAGTGTAGGAATGAAAGAATACTTTTAAAATTATTTTGTAAATCTTTTATGTGATGAGTAACCTTCAACTTCTTATTTACTTTTCATTCTGACCAAGTGATTAATTAAAATATGTTGTGATCCTTAATGAATCAGGAGAGTTATGAAAGAACAACTAGGTTATTCAAATTGATCTATAAGGCATGGTGAAGTACTTTACAGGGAGATGAAAATGTTGGGGAAAAAATCTTTGATGGGTTCAAATTGGGGTTTAACGAATTAAAACTAATTTAACTAATCTTCTTTATGCACTTAGGAGAGGGTAAAGAAGAAAATTGCTCTTATTTGTCACTGCCTCATTCAAAATTTGCATTTTTCATTTCCTTCACTCCACTTAGATCAGTGCAAGAGAAGGTAGCTTTACAACTTGATTTTCACCAATCTAAATATATGAAGTAGAATTTCAGTAGTAGAAAACCTTTAAGAGTAGTTTGTAATTATATGGAACTAGTTAGGACACCTTTAAACTAATTTTACTTTCAAACTAAGAACAAATTTAGCAGGCTAGAACTTTTCCTAAAACTTAAAAACCTTGCTAACTGTGGGTTTGATAACTTGGACTCCTATAATACAAAAGGGATAAGCACACTTGCATAAGACCACAAACTGCAAGTGCACCTGGATTTAAGTTAAGGCAACATCAAAGTCCTTTTGGCACCATTGCCAGGGAGCGATGATAGAGTTAACTTAGTAGAATTTTAGTTGAACCATTTAGACCTAGACTTAGAAATCTGTATTGTTAGTCTTTATATGTAATTACTCATTTGACTGAAAAAAGAAAAAAAATTGGAAATATTTTTTGAGACTGTTTAGTGTGTTTTTGTGAAACCTACTAGTTGAGTCTTTAGTTAGGGAATGCGTAGTTCAGGATCTTAAGGACTTAAACCCTATGATTCTGAACTAGAGAGAACTATTAGGAGGATGAGAAAATAGAAAGGGTTTCACAAACATGTAGAAAAAGGACGAACAATCAATAAATCAGTTTAGATACTCAGGAATCGATTAATGATCATCATAACACACACAGACCATTAAGAGATTATGCTAATCCTATAACAGATGAAATTCAATTAAGTATTTAAAATCCTGCTAAAAAAGCTAACACATTTGAATTTAAGCCAGCTATCATCCAAGTGGTGTAGAACAACTAATTTGTGAGAATCCCGTATGAGGATCCAAATTTACACTTAGCAAGTTTCTTTGACTTTGAACAACATTTCACTATAATGATGTTTCAAACGATGCTGTGAGACTTAATTTTTTCCCTTTTCATTGAGGGATAAAACCAAAATGTGGTTAAACTCATTAGCACTAGGACAATTAGGACATAGGGTGAATTAGCCCAAAAATTCCTAGTTAAGTATTTTCCACCTTCAACGATAGCTAAACTTAGGAATGATATTACTTCATTTTGCCAACATGATGGTGATTCAATATATGAAGCTTGGGAATGATTTAAGTAGCTTCTTAGGAAGTGTCATCATCACACATTATCTGATTGACAGATATTTTACAATGGTTTAGTAGGATCCCTTAGATCAATTATTGATGCTGCCTCTTATGGACCACTCATGTTAAAGCCATTTGATGAGGCTTATTCTCTGATTGAAGAGAGGGCCACTAACAATTTTCAGTGGCCTTCTGAGAGAGTAAATCCTAAGAACAGTGATGTACTTTTGATTCTTACTTCTCAGGTAGCAGCTATATTTATGAAGCTAGACCAATTTGGAATGAATCAAACTCAAGTACCTCCAGTAATTGAGGAAAATTTCCTGGGACAATTGGTTGATGCTAATACTTCATCATTTGAGACCTTAAATGCAACTAATAATAGACATAACAACTCTTATTCCAATTTTTATAACTCTGATTGGAAGAACCATCCTTACTTTAATTGGAACAACAAATCTAGTGGGGAAAACCAAAAATGAGGAATTAACCAAGAAAATCCTTTAGAAAATTAGAATAACCGGAGTAGTACCAACTATAGAACTTCTTATACTCTAGAATTTAACTCTAACCCACAATTCAAGGAAAAGAAGTTGCTTTTGTAGATTGAGAATCAACTGCAAATTCAAGGTGAAATAATTAGGAACATAAAAAATTAGTTAGGATAGATTGCTAACTCACTTTGCAACAGGTCCTAAAGAACTCTTCCTAGCAACACTGAGATTAATTCTAAGGAGAAGAATAGTGAGCATGTTAATGTTGCTAAGTAGTGGAAGTGAATTGGAGAATTTTGTTTCGAAAGATGTTGAAATTGAAAAGGAGACTGTTGTTGACCTCACTTTTGGTTGAGGTTTAGTTTTTCCTCTTTAGTAGCCTAAGGTCTAGCCATAA